TTCTGTATTCGTGTTTAAAATTCCCAATCTAACAATAAACCAGAAGGAAAACGGTGCAGTCCAAAAAATATTCACTGTAAAATCCTACCAAAAGGATAATAAACAGCAGCTTCTTACTACTGAAAAATACTAATTCGAATCTCATATTTCAGCGAAATTCATGCCGGACTCGGCACCGCCGCCACCGCCAGGCTACGTCTACCCACCAGCAGGTATGCCACCCCCAGCTCCAGCCCAGCCAGCCGCAGCCGGAGGCGCAGCTGCGAGTGGACCAGAAACAGCCGGTGCGGCGTTGGTCGGCAATCTAAACGGCATTCACAGCGTGATGTAAAGAAACCAAAAAAAGAAGAAGAAAACGGAGGAAAGAGCAACGCTTCTACGTACCGCGATAAGAATTTTTCCAAGCTAACCCTTTCAGCGAGCAACACGCGACATCAGTTATTGACAATGTATTGTATGTTGACAAAGTTATGTATGTATGTATGCGACCGGGTCGTGAGTCAAAAATGGATGATCCACTTCGAAAGAACGAACAGCTAACGCGTTAACTGCCCGCGATGCAATTTGTAATGTAATTAATTCATTAACTGCTAAACAATTCACCCAAGCTACACCCACGATTCTAAAGATTTGCTGGATTTAATCTACTAGCTTACTACGTTCTGTTATTTATTTAAAGAAACGATTACTCGGATCATCGTGGCAGTTAATGGGTTAATTAAAAATGAAGTCCATCATCGATTTCGACGATTTGTGCGATTTCGATCAAGCAAGCGCCCTACCACATCTTCTCGTCCTCTCGCTGCAAACTGAGGGGATGGGAAAAGTGAAAAGGCGTGAACGATTAGTTCCTCTGCGCAGTTAATGCGTTAAAGGTTTAACGGCTATGAAATTAGGTAAGCATAGTTATATATAGAAAAGTCCACCGCTGATTTAGGGAAACGTTCATGGAAGTCAGTCGATGCCTCCAGAATATTTTCCGAGAGAAAACAAAATTATTATAATAATAGATCCTACTCGTTAGGTGCGTAGACCCTTTTGTGTATACCGTCGTCGATCTTAACTGAAAACTCTCCTAATTAGACTGCGGATTTTTATGCAGAACAAAACATTTTTATTGTCAATTTAAAAAACGAGATCTATTCGGTTGCCGAGAAAATGATATCGGTTTTTATAAGTATTTGTGAAAACCGAAAAAATAATTTTCTTGCCAATCCAATAAATTGAGTATTACTTTACCCTTTAGAAATAACTGTGTATTATTCATTTTGTTATTCAAATTCTTACATATTGCATTTTCTTATATTTTCTGCACATTTGATTTTTCTATAAATGCGTAAAATCTGCAGTCTCTAAATAATCCTAGCCGAGAAGAGACAGCAAGATTGAGAGACGAGAGAGGGTATATGGGAGGAACGGTGTCCATCAGTTAATGGACAAACGTATATATACGTGTACATGTACATAAATTACTACGAATTAACGATGTAAGATTGAATTATACATACAAACATAAAATATATTATAAATGATATGTGACTTATAAATAAATAGTAGTTACTGCGACGAAGTAAACTGAGAGAGAGCGAGAGAGAGAGAGAGAGAAAGAGAGAGAGAGAGGTTGTTAACGTTAGATTTTATTATTATTATCTTCAATTAGCGATATTCACTGTGCGAGACTAATAGCGTTTGTCCTGAATAAAATCTGCTAAAGGGAGGATAATTTTTAATCAAGTTACTTTACAGACACTATTTTTATAGATCCGGTAACTCGCTTGTCACTATCTTACACAGTATTCTTCTCTAAAGCACGGTAATTTCTTTTAAGGATTAAACGAGGGAAAGAGGAATTCGAATGGGCCCACGAATGCTACATTTTCCACGATTTTTTTAATAGAATCTAACAATATTTCTCAAACTATTTGTACACTATCTAATTTATAGATTGCGGTTTTTATGCAATTCGTAAGGAAATTCAATATACAGAAAATTTAAACACTGCATATAATCTACAAAAATATAGAGAACATCAGAAGCACATTGCAATGTATGTAAAATTATAAATACATATTACTGTACTTAAATGATAAAATGAATGTCTATTTAGAACACATTTTTTAAATTACTATCAAAAATATTTGATTTTGCATGAAAATCCGCAGTCTAATAATGAACAAGCCACAGTCGAAAGGGGAAGCGTTGTGGACTGGGCAGAGACTTTAGCGAGTGTCTTCTATCATTTCCTATGTGAAAATATCGCATCTAAGAAAATGCTCATTGATGAAATTATTAATATTCCTTGATTAGTTAGCGTTGCTCTCCTTATTGGCCTAATGTATGCAAATTTCGTCCAATTCGTTTCTTTCTTGATAAAAGTAGATAAAACGATTTTTCTTCAGCTACATTTAGACTGCGGATCTTTATGCGAAATAAAACAGTTATTGTTATCAGTTTAAAGGATGTGTTTTAGATAAACAATTGTTCAGTCATGTAAACATTGAAATGTCTATTCAGCTTTTGATATTCTGAATTGTCTTAAAGTCTTGTCTATCAGAACTGTCTTGTCTATCATTTATCATTTCTGCAGACTAAGTTTTCATGCAATTGCATAAAATCCGCAGTGTAACTATATTACATGAGAAAGGAAATGGATATAGAGATTAAGCTGTTATTGTTATAAGAAAATTTAATAATATACTTCGAGAGAGAATCTTTCAACAAAGAGCGGATTGACATGTGAATGAGATTTAAAAAGTTGATCTCTCTAAATCGTTGATAAGGCAACCATTTCCATTGTCCCTCGATCCCCTCCCTTTTCCTCCGGAGTACATATTTAATATTATTGTGTCCTAGAATCGAACGATAGGAAATTGTTTAAGACCGTTTGTAAAGTATCGATGAGAATCATTGTAAGGATATAAGAAGGCTTCATCGTTTAGGCAATTAATGTATTATTAAAAGATGTAGAGGTATTCTACGATTAATAATGACTCGCGGTAATAATTATTGGTTCCGTTTTGAGCATCATTCGATTTTTGCTGATCGAGAAGTCTATGTTCATCTAGTTTTAGATGTTAATGTATATTAGCCTTAAATAAACGCAAATAATAAAGACACCTGCGAGAACGATGCTTTATTATGTAAATACTACCTCCAAATCTTAAATCATTCCAATCCTGTTACTTCGCTAGTGCAGCTAGCCAAAACGACACCCAACCAGGTTTGCTGATTATTTTATAAATCATTTTCTTTCATACATTTCATTTCATATTTTACTTGGCATTAATACTAATTAAATATAAATTTTCTTAATTTTAATCGACGATAATTGAATTATTCTTTAATTAACCCATATTTGCATCATATAGAAAAGTGGAAAATTAGCCCATATCATAAAAATTATACGCGCATATATGAGCTTCCGGTGCAAATGGGTTGAGAATTAAAATTCAGTCGTTAATGTTGGTTGGAATTAATGTACTACCGAAAGCAAAGAAGTTGATATTACAAAGGGAAGGAGAAATAGAATACATGGAGCAATTTGAAACAGTGACAGAAGAACCTGCAGCTGATTCGTGATTAATTAAATTGTGTTTCGGTGTTCACAAGAGAACTAATTAAAATTCTTATTTTACAAAGTACTGTTCTTATTTTTATTACTTTATGCCTAGTCTTCTTTTCTTACTTTTAATGGAAGATAAAACGAATAAGCATGTTCAAAATCAGGCGGGACCACACTGAGGGTAGCAAACAGACTCTGTTTAACAGAGCTGTTTTCCCCTTCCGCTTTTGGGAACCCTACCCCTCGACTACTTTAGGTCCATGTGCCCATGCTCAACGTAACATTAGTAGCGCCGCATAACGGCAGTCTCTTCCATTTGTCCACCGTTTCTGAACATGGCTCCGGTGAGTTTCCTATTCCCGAAATAAATGTCAATAATTTCTAATAATTACACAACTTTGATTAAACTTTATCGACAGTATAATACAGTGTATTATAAGCTTTCATCACAATATTACTTTATATAATTTTTTTGAAAGATTGCAAAGATATTGTTGGATATAACCTAAGCATAGAAAGTGGCTGGCACATGTGTTTACGATCGACGTATTTTGTTAATTAAAAGGTAAAAAATGAAAGATCATGCGTTTTCTAGACTATTGCTAAAAAGCCCAAGGGACCGGCCACCAAGAAACAGGCCCTTCGGGGCAAGGGCCAAAAGAAAAAAGTCTCCCTCAAGTTTACTATCGACTGTACACATCCTGCCGAGGATAATATTATGGATGTGGCCAATTTTGTAAGTGTTTCATCTTGATATCTTTCATTTAATTTTGTTAATTAAAAGGTAAAAAATGAAAGATCATGCGTTTTCTAGACTATTGCTAAAAAGCCCAAGGGACCGGCCACCAAGAAACAGGCCCTTCGGGGCAAGGGCCAAAAGAAAAAAGTCTCCCTCAAGTTTACTATCGACTGTACACATCCTGCCGAGGATAATATTATGGATGTGGCCAATTTTGTAAGTGTTTCATCTTGATATCTTTCATTTTTATTCAAATCAAGGACTGCCAAACTATTTTAATTACACTAAATATCCCAATTTTTGTTCATGTCAATTTTTAGTCACTAGTATATTTTTTTATGATACTGAAACTAATAATAATCAATTTATATATTCAAACCCTGAACCCTTGAACAGGTCCAGAAGAATATAAAGTAACAAGTCTAGAACCTTCAATACTTAAAGTAATAAACTAATAAGCTAGTGAGTAGAAATTGTAACATAAATAAATATTGGGAAATGTACTACGTCAATCATTTAAAAATCTTTCAAACCTCTTATCAACACCCAAGAAATTTATTTTTAGTAATTTATTTCTGTTACAAACAAAACAGCCTCTATTATTTATATGTATTTATCATGCAGTTATATATTTTATTTTTAATATATGAAAAAACAATTTTATAATAATCATTTTAATAATTTTTCTTGGCTGACAATCAAGTAAATAGATTGATGATTTTTAGCAATATTTGGTTCAAAATTAGTAAGTTTTAATCTCAAATCACCTAGGAATTCCACATTCAACTTATTGACTCCCAATGAGTTATTAATAATGTTTCCAATGTGTTGTCCTAATCCTAATATATTAGTAAATATTCCCAATATATATTCGCTTGATTCTCTTTCAAAAATTACGTTTTTATCTGCCAATACGAGATGACTATTATTTCATCATTTTGTATATAACATCATTTGAATGAATGTTTCTCATACAGGAAAAGTACCTCCACGAAAGAATAAAAGTTTCCGGAAAGACGAACAATTTTGGCAACAATGTTAGTTTAGAAAGGGACAAGATGAAGCTCTCCGTCAACAGTGACACTGACTTTTCTAAGCGGTGGGTGTTGTCCTTAACTTAAACCCTAATTTATAAAAGTACATCTGACACTCCTTTTAAACGATGAAAGCGCATCGAGTTCAACAAAATGATAAAAATGATATTTTTATTAAGATAAGAATATTATAAAAACGTGTTCAGATAAGAATTAACAATAGTTCTAATTTTCTGCATGCAAAAGAATTTGGGACTTGCAATTATACTTTACAAGACGAACAATATTTGCACTAATTTGACACGATGTTCACATAGGTATCTCAAGTATTTGACAAAGAAATACTTGAAGAAGAATAAATTACGTGACTGGTTACGCGTAGTATCTAAAGATAAGGAGACCTATGAGCTGAGGTACTTCCAGATCAACAGCCAGGAAGATGACGACGAGGAAGATGCCGAGTAAAGTTTGTTCTTATTTTTACAGAATTATCTGTACATATTTCCATAAATAAATGATTGAATCAAATAATTATTCTGTGTGTTTCGAGCAATCTCTGAATAAATCCTATACTCAAAACTCATATCTAGATATAATTTCATCACGATCTGTTATCAAAAGACAATGAGACGAAATTGAACGCATAATAAAAAAATTCTGCTCCTCCCGAGACGTAGTAGCATGCAGTAGTCATTCTTTATCATCACATTCGAATCAAGATAAGGTATCTTTGCCCCCTAACAATTAAAAAGAAGCAGTTGTCCAAAACCTTTCCAATGATGCGCATGGACATCGGTGGAAACTACAGAACAAATGTAAAATGTAATATTTGAAATGCATTGAACCAGACTGCAAATAAGCGATCTATCTAAATATCTAATTCAATTTAGACAAATGAAGAATTAATTAATTTTGAATTCATTATAATGAGTCGGCAAAAAAGTAATTTTGGTTTTTATAACGCTGTGTATTTGTGAAAGCAAAATTACTCTCTTGCCAATCTATCAATATATTATTAATGTTTAATCCAAATGTGATAAATAATTATTTAATTAGGTTAATTAGTAGAATTCACTATTGAATTTTATTTCATAATTAATATCTAGTAAAATATAAGACAGAGGAAAGGAGTTCGTGTCGCATAGACAAATCGGCGGCGACGGACTTGAACTGTTGAACCCTCAGTTATCTACTAAACGCATGGAAGCGTTCAAAATTTACCCGATTTATAGGCGCATGAATCATCGATGAAACGCATAGAACAAATCTATTATGAATAATAACATATGAAATGCAATGAATAAGAAACTTGCGACATAGTAATATAACGAAGTTAGCTTAGATAACCTTTTGTTTAAATTCCTGACATTCCAACAATCGTGAAATTTCTAAAAAATTTCTTGGTTAGCCGTAAACATAATCTCGAACTTAATTATACTATCAATACTCTACTGATGCTATATTTATATTTCGTTTCGCATGGGAAGAAGAATCACTAGCGACGGACCTGAGTTATCTATTAAACGCATCTGTGGAAGCATTGTTCCACCAGAGGTTCCACCATTGAAGGAGGGCTCGCGATAACGCCTATTTCCGAACCAATTGCATTATTTTAAAACGAATCGCTCTCAAATAACAAGCGACCGCCGTCGTCGAGTTGACCGTGTATACTTATTTCTTTTATCAGTCGTACAGCCCCGACAGCCCCGACGAATCTAACCCGTGAGGGACTATTTCGCATTTGCGTAGTGAATCGCAGTGCGCAGACGGTGTGACGCACGGCGATTGTTGTGACAGAAGCGGAGGAAAGTCGTCGTATTTTCCAGTTTCGGTAACACGCATATGAATCGCTAGGGAAAGAGTCGGGAATTGAAACGGTTACGGTTAACTGCGACTCCGGAACAAGAGGACTATCGAACGTATAACGGCTCGTGCAGATCGCGCGAGCACCGAGAATGAAGTTTCACTACAAGGAGAAACACTCCTTCGAGAGGAGGAAGGTCGAGGGTGAAAAGATTCGACGAAAATATCCCGAGAGAGTCCCCGTGAGTTTCAATTTTACCTTAGAAAACGAGCGATCGGCCAGGAGATAGACCCGCCGCGCGTAGTCTATCAAATAAATCATCGATTCATCGTAATTAGCTGATCCATTCGTCCGTTTGTTCGTTATAACGACGGATATGCATATAATTTCTTCGTTCAACCGATCCGTCCCGTGTCCACGGTTATTTCCTGATTCTGGAGTGGACCAAGGTCGAGCTTTAACTACGTCGCATCCGCTGATACGTTCCGCGTTTCCAAGACAATGTACAAATATTCCTGTTCCATGCATTCACAATTGAATCGTATAAAAATTTTGCTGCCGTGAGCTCGTATCTATTGATCGGCCGCTACGCCCACTAATGTAATGTTCGATCGACAGGGAAAATGATCGCCTTTCGTCAGCTGATTTTCGTTTCAATGCGCGGAGAAACTGGTGAAAACCAAGTGTTTTATGTTTTACAAGAGTTGGATAAATGTCAAACGCGATAATAAAGTAGAATTTGAAAACTCGTTTCTTGTCTTGACGACTAGCCAAGGTTTAAACAAAACGTTTAACACTAAACCCGCCGACACTTCTTGTATACCTGTTCTCATTGTTCTCGCCCAATCAAAATAATTGGCTCTTAAAAAAAAGTTATTATCATTATTGAATTTATAAGATTGCATTAACTGTAAGAGTCATTAGGAAGCACAATGCCCATACATTGCATAGAGTATAAATTGATCCTTATCTATTGCTTAAGGAAGATAAATAATAAAGAAAGGAGTTCTTATAATAGTTGAAAAATTCCGATGTGTTTTAAGAATTTTAACACCTTAACACATTAATTCACGGATGCAATAGTTTCTCTAGAGTCATTAATCGTATTAAACAGTCTCCTTTCATATTGGACTTTCACAGAGACAGTAATGATATAAGATATTAAATTGGGTACAACTTCTGCAGATGGGTATTGTTTTTAGAATTAAACATAGATAATAATCAATTAATAAATGCTCTATCATAAAATGATGACACAAATTCAAAATTATATAGTTTCTCAATCTGCAGTAGAGTCATTCTCTAGTGTCATTAATAATATTACATAATCTCCTTTCATTTTGGACTTTCACACAGGCAGTAATAATAAGCAATGTTGAATTTGGTGTATTGTTTTTATAATTAAGCATATATAATAATCAATTTGAATCAATTAATAAATGAACTCTCATAAAATGACGACACATTCTTATACAATTTCAATTATAAGTTTGAAAGAGAACTAAAAATGAACGGTAATTGTATAAGAGTTTGGAAACGGTTTGACCGGTAATGGTAGGTTTAGTGTTAAACCTTGATCGAAGACTATTTTGTGAAATACGATGGAATTTGTACATGGTAATCGATGAAGGAACGATTTCACAGGTGATCGTCGCAAAGATTGCGTGAACTAAAATTAGAAGCTTGATCTGACTGTTGAACAGTTTCACTCTTTAATCCGCGAACGAAAGAAGCAGCTATTTTATTTCTACAGTTAGATAAATGTCAAACACAATAGGAAAATAGAATTGGAAGTTGGATTCTTGTCTTGACGACGAGCCAACGTTAAAGCCTTGATCGAAGACTATTTTGTAAAATACAATTGAATTTATACGTGGTAATCAACGGAGAAACGAATATTTTACAGGTGATCGTCGAGAAGGCTCCGAAAGCTAAAATCAGTGACTTGGATAAACAAAAGTATCTAGTACCATCTGATCTGACCGTTGGACAATTTTACTTTTTAATCCGCAAACGAATCCACCTTCGCCCGGAGGATGCTCTCTTTTTCTTCGTGAACAACATAATCCCCCCAACGAGCGCTACCATGGGTTCCCTCTACGCGGTAATTACTAAATCCAAGCGCGTCAACAAAAATACGAAAAACAACTTACATGCTCTTATTATTTCTTCTTTCGCAGGAACATCATGAAGAGGATTTTTTCCTCTACATAGCATACAGTGATGAGAATGTATATGGATACTAAATTACAAGAAACAGAAGAAGATACAAAAAGCAGAAGACAACATCCAAAAAAAGGAGCAGACAAAAATTTACAACAAACGTAGTCCTCTTAGAAGCTTTTCGGAAGTGTCAAAGAAAATTGTATCTTTCAAAAGAAAAAAAAATAATAATGTCAAGTGAAATTTGAGATTCCTAGCACAGCACATCGAATTCTAAGTTCTTGCTTCCTTAAGGTATTGGACGCGTTCGTCTGTGAACAAATGCGAACATTGTAATTTGTTTTTCTTTTCTCTCTCTCTCTCTCTCTCTCTCTCTCTCTCTTTCTCTTTGATTCCGTCACTCACCGCTGATCGATGAAGCTCCGAGAACGAAAATGACTGTATTAAGGAGCTGGAGCTATTTTACAATACGATCTCCTTTGTCATTGTATAGCCCGATATTATTGAAACTAAACAGAAATTAGCGTGAACGTCGAACTGATAATGTAATTTGCATTACTGATCGACACAATTAACTTTCACTAAGTGTACATTTACACGCGTTAACAATTATTTAAAAAGATTTAAAGTAATTAATAATCTTTAGGGCTAAATCCGCGGTAAATTTATATAATTATCTCGGTAGATATTTTATGTGGTACGATTTCTTCTTATTTAGAATTAGTACTATTCTATTCACATGGTTTAACAATTATTCGATTGTAACGAAACGAAAAAGACTTGCTGAACACGTGGTGAGGTGAAAATTTGTTGTAAACGGCTGGATGTGGGCCAATAAAAAAGTATAAAAATATATAGCCCTCTGCTAATCATTTCCCTACTCAAACCAAATTCGATTCTGCCGGATCTGCTTTTGCCACGTAAGAAAGTCGGAACTCATACATAGTTAATATGTTTTCCTCGGGAACCATTCATTTTTAACGTGTTTTCCACTGAAAGCACTGCTTTACGAGGCAATCGAGAGAACAGCATCGACTAGTTAACGTTAAGTGTCTTCGCTAAAGAAATCCGGAACATGGAGATAGGAAACAATGAAACGAATATTACGAACTCGCCCGAAATAAATATTATTTCTGCGTATAATTTGAATCTAGAAGATAGCAACTGGATTGTGACGAATTCGTTTATAATCTTCACTATGCAAACTGGTAAAGAGTACATACTTAAGATTGTTCTGACTATACAAAAAGTTATACGTAGATTGCGGATTTTTAGCGTATCAATTTAAGAAATCATATTTAGTAAGAATATCCTTTAATCTTCCAAATATGATACTTTATGTACTTTCTCCACTATATGTTTTTTTTACGTTTTTTATATACTCAATTTTGTTATAAATGCATAAAATCCGCATTGCAGTTATACGTGTTCTAAACGAAGTGTATTCTCTGGTTTTGCTATGTAGCTACTCGTGTTAGAAGGTACATCTTGATTGGAATACGACATAATAATTATTGAAGTCGTTTAACTACTATTTTCTCTTCATTTCAACATTATGTCAGAATTTTCACTGTAAGGTGAACGTCCTAATTTTTATTC